TCTAATGCATTATCACGCGAAACAACAATTTTATTCGAATTATATGATTGAGAAAATATAGATTCGTCCTATGAGGAACGTATTAAATATTATGTGCAGTTACGTCGAGTAAGATGTAGTTATGATACACGTAAAATCTGTTAGATTTTTTAGCAAAAAAACGAGGAAAAAGCTAATGGAGGTTCTTTCAACGATGGTGTCCCGATAATATAAGTTTGTAAAGTAAAATAAAATACAATCCTCGCTACATGCAAGCTACATCCAGCAGACAAAAAGAGAAAAAGGAAATGAGCGAAGTAAACAGCAGCTTCCGCGGACCAACGTCCCGTTCGTTGCGCAAGTAAACATAATTGAGAGGAATGCTGCAGTCGCTCATTGCGCAAGCGCTCGCAGAAAGTCCGCCGTCCGTGCGTGCGTCTCTGCACGCGTGAGCGAGATAATGAGCGATGAACCACTGGCTTGTGGAGCGTCTTGAATGGTGCGGGCAATAGAACAACGCGGCGGCAACCCACGGACTTGGCCACTGCTTGGCCGTGCCGCGGGCGATCGTTGCATTTGCATGCCTGACTGTATATCTAAGCTGCACGAAATAGTTTGGGGCCTGTCCATATTAAAACGTTTAATCGTGTAAACGACGCTGCCACTGCTGCTGGCTTTCGCTTATAGGTGCATTTTATCTTTGGAATCTCCTGAGTTGTTAAATAATGCTTAAACAGACTGAGGAATGTTACTGCGTCCGTAAATAATAAAGATAGAAAGCTGATTGTTTTCTGTGCTCGATAAATTGTCGAAATTCTTCGGAAGAAGTTAGTATTCTACGGGCAATCGAGCGCGATATATATATAAAATTGAAAAGAGCGTTTGCACCTACAAATCCATAAATCCTATTGCTCTGAAAAGACATAAATAGTGACGGCGACAGTTGCAGCAGGCTTAACGACTCTAACGTAACAATCAGTATTTCTGGTTTTCTCCTTTTTTCTCTCTCATTTCCGAACTAATTACAGTGCCACGCTCGCACAACTGCATTGTTTTCAGTACTGATTACGGATCCCACAAAAAAGCGCGATTGATCAACATTGCTGCTGCTGCATCGGCGCCGTCGCCCTAATTTTACAGCTACACCTTACCATGTATACTCATTAACGAGTAAAATACGCGGTGGACTCAATTTTTTCCTTACAGCTAATACGTTTCAAATTTCTGACCGTAATAACTTGGTACATTCGATCTCCCGACTTGCCCCTCGCGTAGCACTCCATACGCGTATCATTGAATAAAGCATGCTACGGCGCAACCAGAGCCTTCTATTCCCTCTATTCGTCCGCGTAAATTACACATCCAACGGTAGAAACGGCGAGCCAAGAGAAATTGCGCGCCAATGCACAGACTCCTGCGCCAAGCCGCCGACGCCTCGCAAGAAACAGAGAGAGAGAGAGAGAGAGAGAGAGAGAGAGAGAGAGAGAGAGAGAGAGAGAGAGAGAGAGAGAGAGAGAGAGAGAGAGAGAGAGAGAGAGAGAAAGGGCGCAGCAGCTTCAGCTTCTCGTTGAGAAGGGACTTGTGAGCCGTTTTCTTGGAATAACGAGTTTTGCGCGCAAGTTTCCTCTTCTTTTTCGTTTTTTTTTCAACAGGAAGGTCGAATTACGCGCTCGCGCAAGGTTTCACCTGTAAATTCGAGATTTTTATAAAAGGGGTTTCTCCTTTTGCAACTCTCTCTACGGGGCGTATCCGCGAACAACGCCAACCGCTGGCACGCGCATTACTCAATGTGCGTTCTTCTGCTCGCTTATTTGGCTTTTCTTTAACTACGTTTCCGTGTTGGTTTCTTAAATAATTTACTTTTTTTCCTACAGTTCGTAAATCGTTTTTTTGCAGAAAATCATAAAAAACAAACTATTTTTAGTTTGATTGAAGTTTGAAGGGAATTTCATTTCTAAAAACTTGCAAAAGAAAATGAAACGTACCGATGTATAATCAAACAGATCCTAGAAAAAAATCCACTAATAGCTAAAAAAAGAAAGCAAATAAACGTTTCCAGAAGCACGTTTGAAATCGAGAGCGCGAGCGGCAGCAAGCGTGAGAGGCCTCGGTAATAGTCTGGACGCACGTATTAATTCTTTTCGTCGGCATCTAAATCATCTCGTCAAGGCTAATGAGAGCTGCTGCCTCGTGCACGGGTTCGAATACACGTATGTATGCGAACCGAACCGACATGATATACCTTGGATTAAACTCGTCGTCCGTTCCCTATATAGTCAATCGTTTTCACGTGCACAGCATAATATACCTCTTGCACTTGCACCGCAGAGATTATGCGTATAACTAAAGTGCCTTTTGCCGCGAGGTTATCATTCAAATCGTTCACTCTTCAGTCAACTTCAAAGGAATATTGTTTGCCATTATTTTTTTAAGTACGTTCTTTCTTTCTTTTTTATTAACTATATACTCGACCTACATTCGTCTTCTTTGTTTGCTCTGCCTGATAATATTTATGATTTTTTAATCTCGAGACTTCAGATGAAAGTTTCTGATTCTCATCTAAACGAGTACTTTCAACGTGTTTACTGACTTGCCGATCGATCTTAAGAGATTTCTGTTCTCGTTGAAGTAACTTTCAAACAAAATTGTATTGTGTAAATAGTCATAACGGTCGGATAAGTAGTCTTTCCACGGGGGAACTCGCTCGCATCAAAACGAAAGTCAAGGATCGAAAAAACAAATCATTTGGTCAAATGACACTCCTAGCTTGCGGCTATTGAGGTATTGAGCCGTTTGAGCTTTCACATTGATCGCACGAACAATGGCGCATACTGAATGTACATGTGTGTGCAGCGCGCATCATCATCTCTGAACGCGCACATACAAAAGCCAAGCGAGCCAGAGAGAGAGAGAGAGAGAGAGAGAGAGAGAGAGAGAGAGAAAGAGAGAATCGTAGAAAGACATTAATATTTCACGAACGTTTATGCTCTCGATTAATCTTAAGCGAAGAAAGTGCAGCCACTAAGTGCTTGATTCACTGTTGCAGAGGGACCTAAAACTAATTGGATGAATGTGGCATTAGCATACGTATATTCGTGCGTAATTCGACTGAATCGTTTCTTTTTTTTCCGTGCTCGTGTCTTCGCTCCCAATTAAAGCCAGACACCGGTGCACTTGCACTTTCTTCCCTCACGTTTTGCATTAGTCGTGCAATTGGTTTATTAACCGGGGGATTCATCAGCGATAGACGTTCTCAAATTTCAAAGCCCCTCTTTCTCTCTCGCGCACCTGATTTTACGTAAGTGTAACGCGCTCCAATATTGTATTTCCAACAGAGAACTGCAACTTATCTAACGAGTAATAAGTTCGCGCATCTGCGGGAAACAGCGAGACGTAATATTTATCAGCCGCACAGAAGAGAAAGAGAGAGAGAGAGAGAGAGAGAGCGATCTAAATGTAGATAACTTTGTTTATTTTCAAAGAGTCGTAAGAAAACTTTCGTGCGCGCATCCGGAACACCAGCGCGACAATGTGCAAACCGTGTTTTTTCACTTTCGCGCGAAGTCAGCGAATAATTTTTCGAGAGCGCTTCCAAAAGTGAAATTCATTGGAACGCGTTCGATCGTTGGGGAGAATTCGCGACGAAGTTAAATTGTACGTAGCGGATTGCGTGACAAAATTAATTACCGCATCGCTCGCATTGGCATTGTCTGTCTCACTCTTTGCGGAAGTCTTGCATAAATCAGTCTTTCGCGTTGAAAATAAAACGAAAAAAGCTGCCTTCTTATCACTCGCAGTGCAACGGTTAGCATATACTTTCTAAAACGTTGGGCGCATCTTATCACTTATCACGGTTATCTGGCAATAGCAGGCTTTCGTCGCGCTAAACTCGTCATTATGCTCTCTGCGTCCTAGAAAATCGCGCGCGCGCAACGCGTCGGAGCCGGCTGAAGTGCCGCACGTGCGCGAAGAGATGAAAAAAAATTGAACGCCACTTTTACCGCGAGCGCTTTCTTGTTAAAAAGCTTAAACACTGTAATCCCCGCGCGCGCCTAACAATAGGGACCAAGATCGCACACACGAGCGGTATAATGTCACGTTAGACAGTTTTCGCTTTGCGTTTATCTCGTCGTCGCGTACAACTTCTTATCACTTGTAGGTCAGTGCAAAGTAGATGTTTACGACGTGACACTAAAAAGAAGCAAAAGAAAAGGGGAAATATTCAAACTCACCGCTTTCAAATGTAAAGCGCGGCGCGTGGGATAAAAGCCTCGAGCTTGAGAGCCTGTCAAATGGTCGCACTGTACTAAAAACGTTACACCGCCGTGCGCACGAGGTTCACTAGAGTCAGCGATATCGCGCGGACTGAATCAGCCGCACTCGCAAGCTTTACTCTCTGCGTTCACCGGTTTATCCGCAAGCGAGTATCGCGCCATCGAGTGACAACTTATCGTACTTATTTTAATATTGACTTTGTTGATATTTTTAAAAGACATCGTTACGTTTTCTCCGATCGGTGTAGACAATTTTGAAATCGTTTTTACTTTTTTTTCTTTCTGTTTATGTTTGACTTAAGACTGTTATTTATGTTTCACTGTTCCAATTAAATGAAAAGACGACGATTTCACCATAAAAAATTTGAAAATGCATTCGATATTGCGTTTTTTCTCTTCTCGTGAATATAAAAGAACAGGAAACAGCTACAGGCAGCGTTGAAAGGCGTGAGGCTTAAGACGGCTGTTTTCTTATTGTAGCATTTCACCGCGAGTGCGTGATATGAATACACATTTGAAAGAGAGGCTTTTGATAGTCGGAAGAAAGATAATTATCAGATGCTACTCATATATGTTTAATATTCGATCGATGTTCGCATAGTAATATTCCTTATGCATATCGTAATAGTTTACCTTCAACAATTTTTTTTTTCCAAGGATTGAGTGACCTTTTTTCAGTTCTTCCATAATTTTATGATCTATAGATTTTAATTAACGACACGTACAAAACAAGAATCAAAGTTCGTAGATAATTGTTTATTCAAGATTCTAATTTGATAATTTTGTATCATCATCATTTTATATCTTGCCATATGAAGGATTTTACTAAATATTTTAATGAATATAATTTTCACATTGCCGATTATTTATGAGTTCAACAAATATGAATAATCGTACATTATCAATGGCACTATGTTAATAATGAAAAACTAATCCTTATTCCAAATAAACACATCCCAGATAAAATCACTTGCTACAGTGACAAATACAGTATGCTACGATGAACAACTTGGAAGAAAAGGATCCGTGGCAATAGTATCCAACTCGGTCTCTTCAATAATATCCCTCATCCTTCTAAATCTCATGGACGATTCCTCCATCGAATCTACCCAAAGTCTAAGTTCTTCGGTAGGCATAGGTTTCATAGCATCAGGTTCAATCTTATGAATAATATCCGTTACGTGAATATTAGAGTCGGTGACACTTTGTTTACTCAAGGCAATTGCTCGTACAAAATTGTCCAACAAACTCACAAACTCGTGCTCAATGTAGATACTCCTGTCGTCCCAGTAGATCAGCTGTTGAAACATTTTTTTAACTTCTTTTTGTATTAGATCACGTATTTTTTTTGTATTAGAAGAATACCACTTACCTTGGTTGTGACTTTGTAAGCCATCAGTAATGTTATGGGTTGTCGATAACGAATCGAGGTCGCCCCCTGTACTACACTACCACCCTGTCTTTTAATATGTTGAAAAATACCTGTACGATCGTAGTAGGAAGAACGGGCAAAATCCAATTCGCGAAGGTACCTTGCGTTGTTCATATGTCTCATGAATATATCAATGTCCGAGGTCCAACACATACCTGTCAATTAAATACGTAAATCGTTTACTATATATTTTTTATTTCAAAGAATTTACCTTTCGATCAATGTTAATTAATGGAATAAAATACACTTCTTTTTCAATGTCAATCGATTTATAATGTTCGAATGTTAAGATGCGAGAGTATCTAAGTTTCCCAACTCTTTCCTTCACTATTTTTAGAATTGCGTTAAGCGCGATATATCAACTTTTTTTTTGTTACTCTCATACAAAAAGCATAGGAAAATGAGTGGCTTTAGTCGTAAAAATGCTATTCAGTACAGTGTCAATATAAATAAATGCGTCAGGTTGAACTAGTTACAAAATGGGCATGGATATTTTTTTTTAATCACAGAAAATATTCCATTGAACCACGAACTTCGAGTTTTTATCATTTAATGATCGCAAGTCGTTGTTAGCGAATCCTTGTACATCTACCACAAAAAGTGTTGTGCTGTCGCAATTGTCATGGGCAGCAACTTCGATTATGCATACTTAAGTTGCATGTAGTTTTTACTGATTTATTATTATCGACAGCATAATTGGTATTGAAATAATCTGCAACGATGCTCATATATTCAAATAAAATGCTTACCATAATGTACCGTATGCTCGAAAATATTTCTTCTTCGATGAAAAAGTCGATCCCACATAATAGTAAAAAGTATCCTTAAGAAGTAATTTACGTCGAATAACATATACGGTAAGATGATGCACGAAAATATCAGTAGATCCAACATTCTTATTTTGATTTTTTTGAGTCACTTTTGGACGTATTGATTTGAATTTTAGGAACAACTTCTATTAATAGAGGTTGATATAAATGTGTGGACTTGATTTTGTTATCGAAAATCTATAATATAAATTAATCACATTAGTATAGAGTTATTATACAGAAGTAAAATAATAAGCTTAGGTTAAAACAGATACGAATAGAATATAACAGATATTATAAAACGCGACATAAATTATAAAATCTTATACAAAAAATTATATAGATTTAATCGTAATGCAGTAAATAAAATAAAATATATGTAATACCAAAATTATGAAAAATGATTTTGCAAAACTCACTTTTGCTAAGCAAAAATTAAACATTGTTGACACCAAGCAAATATAAAAATTATGAAGCTTCTTTTACTGGACAATGTCGTCTCTCTTGAGATAAAATAGCAACTGCATCGATCGTTTCAAATTCAAGATTTATTCTCCCGCTTGTACGAATGTGTTGCCATCTCATTGAATTTTTAAAAACTTCTTTACCAAGAAATTTTCTCAACGGATACAACAGTTATTTCTTTACGAAAATAACTTCTTTTTTTACAAATTAGCAATATTTGGTGAATATTCTATAAAACGATATATTAAAAGCAATGGTATTTAAAAGAATTCAAAATTCAATTTAAAAGTAGCTGATTATAGCTCTGACAGGTATTATATATATATATATATATATATATATATATATATTAAATAAATTATTAAATAAATCATTTAATAATTTATTTAATATATATATATATTTATATACGTATTAAATAAATCATTTTATCCTTTTCAAGTATTATATTAGAAAACTTATCTTTACCGCAACTAATTCAAGAAGCGATAAAACTACTTATCAAACAACAGTAATTCAAATAATAGTAAAAACACACTATTAAGTAAACGTAAAAAATAAAAAAAAAACTCGTAGTTTAATCACAAAGTTAAATATAGACAACCTATAACAGAAACCCCAATGGCTTATATTTTACATTTTAAATAAAATACCCCTTCCAAAAAGTCTTCATTTTGTGAATACAAATTGGTAAGAAATAAAAATGATCAGATCTTGTTTTATTCTATTTCCTCTTGAATTCACCAGCCATTTTTTTGTACTTTTGTGATGATTCTTCCATAGATTCCAACCAGAGTCTTAATTCTTTAGTGAGTTCTGGCCTGCGTGCACCGGGTTCGACTATCTCAATAATTTCAGGTACTGGCACTTTGAGCCCAGTGACACTTTGTTTACTTAGTACAACAGCTCTTACAAAATTGTCGGAAAGGCTAATGAACTCGTGCTCAAGGTAAAAATTTCTGTCATCCCAATAGATGAGCTGCAAAAAAATGATCATTGGTTAATTAAATGCTACAAGTTAAAAAAGCAATACATTTTTTTTTCAAAAATTACCTGAGTGGTTACTTTATAAGGAGTGAAGATAGGGATAGCACGACGATATCGAGTAGACGATGCACCTTGAACTGCACCACCACCTTTCTTAGCAATCTCAGCGTAGATGCCAGATCGGTCATAATAATGGAACCGTGCAAAATCTAATTCACGTAAGTATCTAGCATTGTTCATATGCTTTAGGAAAATGTCCACATCCATACTTAAGCAAACATCTGTAAGGATAGTATAATGCTGTATATTTTACTTTTAGAAACACGTGATATTTCATGATGCGATAAATTTTATAACTTTTTGCCAAGTCTATTTTTACGCTTTATTATTGATAATTATCTGTAATCATTGCAGAACTTGTTATGCTTATAGATAATTGTAAGACATATAACACAACTTTAGCTTTAATTTTATTTCTCTTATAAATGATGAAATCTACATAGCAATATGTTTCCATACATTTTACAAGCCTAACGCTGACGGAGATCAAGAAACTCTAAAAATTACAGGAAGAAAATTGTTAGTATCGTGTCAAACTCTTTTCAATGATAATAACAGCACATTTAAAACTAGTCTTCAAATTAACTTTCTCTTGAGTATTTGATCACAATGAATAAGCCATGTTCAAATTTATAAAAATAAAATAAAATCATATACCAAACTAATTTGTAATTATGATTTCTAGAACCAAGAATTAATTAGACTAATACCAATGTCGAAGTAGTTCTTGCAGAGAGACTAAGAATTCATTGTATTCAAATTCATTTTATGCGCGTAAGTTTAAACCATGAATTTTTTAAAGCACTCATTGAATTTCAAAATTTCCATTCGACGCCCGTTGGGAACTTCCTTGAACATTCTGCAGTAAGAATCTTAGTTACGTTTAGATCGAAATTTACAGTTATCGTAAGATGATGCCTTTAATATTAGCGTGAGGATTATAGTGATAATACATAAATTAATTGAATCATGCGAAGATTGCTTTTATATAATAAATGATAAATAGCTATTAAATGAGAGATTGATAAAAGGTAAATACTTTTTTAAATATTATTTAAAAAATCTAACTAAAACTCAAGAGATAAGACTTTCCTAAAGTAGATGGTATTAATATATCAAACTGCTTCCACAATTGATATGAAAAGTCAACTTACCGTAGATAGTAGTCTTTTCAAAAATTTTCTTCTTCTTCTGGAACAGCCTGCCATATCCGATGGTAAAGGCGATCCTCAGAAAGTAGTTAACATCGAGCAGGATATACAAAATTGTGATGGACGCAAGCCAAAAGTAGCTGATCATTTTGGATCGGTTCGCCGCACTCTTATTTGGCAAATCAAAGATGACGCGAACTTACGGCTTGTAACTGAACGATAAAGGAATATAACATATGCGAGCCTCAGCTTCCTGCGTGACCAGCCAAAAGACTGGCCGGCAACTTCCCAGCAGACCGGTGCGACGCTCAACTCGACCCCGTTACACGACGATTGCACACACAAGATACAAACGCGCGCGCGTGTATGTGCGCGAGTGAGCGTACAAGTCAGTCAGCTGACGATAGCTTAAGCTTATGGAAGGTGAAGGATGCGTCTGTGTGAGTTGTTGTGTTTGCGAAATTTCGAAGCGCAACAGCGCGGATATTTAAATCTTTTAAATATTGATGCTTGTATAATTTATTATGCCATTTTAATAGAAATATTGTAATTGAAGATTTCAGTAAGTTTTTACAATGAGAACACAATCAACTAGGACTTTTCACGGAATCCGTCCAAATACCAATGGACTTTGTCATGAAAGAACTCGACTGTCAGAACAAATGTTTCCGTTTTAAAAATTATAATTGATCTTGAATCGAAAGAAGCAAATAGAATTCGAGTAAAAATAAAAACAGTAAAGTTAGTAAAAATCTTGCAAGGAAGTCATCATACCGTCAGCCTGTGCAATCGAATTGCTAAAACTACTCACGTTACATTATACCTCATAGTATCAGCAACTATCACACGCATAAAAAGCCAATGATATTACTGAAACAGAATATCTAGTATCGATTTTATATTGTTTATATATTCAAATTTAAAATAACACCCACATTTACTTAAGGTTATTAGTAACTAGATCCATATATTATAAGATAGAAAATTCCACCAGAATAATGGAACAAAAATTTTATTATCAAATTTTCATCCAAACAATTCATAAAAAAATTAATAAGTCTAAATGATTCGTCACGCAGTAGTATTCTTTGAGTACAGTGGAAGAAAAATATACGCATATTTGTAATATGTAATATAAATAATTAACTCAAAGTCTCGAAATTCAATTCTGAATAATATTTTCGCATAACTGCAATATTAAAACATAGTATTTATTATTTAAAAAATAATAATTTCGTCATATATGTATATCATACCGATACATTTGACGGTTCACTTAAATTTCCAATATTTTTCCAATTTTCGTTTACACATAACTATGCAGTAACTATGGCGCGTCATCTTGTGATCACAACTTATAATCTTTGGCTAAATATAACTAAATCTTACATTTCTACGGGCTTTTTACAAGAAGTACGCTGTTATATCAGATCATAAAACAGCTTTAAGACTGTTGAAGTAATTTAATGTAAAATTATTATATACTTGCAAATATGCATAAAAAAAAGGTTAAATAAATAATATATAATTTTATTTAAAAAACAAGTTTGACTTACAATAATTACAACATTCTGAATGAAAAGTCATTTTGATTCAACAATCACCATTCAAAAATTAAAAGAAGTAATGATCAGTAAGTCAAAGACTTTTTTCTTTATAAATAGACCATAACTATTTATAAATAGTAGTTTTATTATACTTTAAGTACACAATGGAAGTAGATTTTATTTTCGAAGTAGAAATACATTTAAAAAATTAAAAATGCTATTTAATAATTACCAAATAAATACTAATATTTTAACTCGTCATTATATTTCCTTAACCACTACTATTTTTACTAATAACAATTTCAGAACTGCTTTAATGTATTTGGTTATATCATAAAAATTAACGTTGATGATGAAACGTTTCATATATTATGTAAAAAATATACTTTTACAGCTGAGATTAATTTTTAAAATTAATCACTTGAATTTATTTTATATTTTAAGTACTTGCATATGTTTATCATTAAAAATTAAACAGACCAGTAATTCATACCACTAATTCATTTTTTTTCATAAAAGGTCAAAATAATTTATCATTTTCAACAATAAACACCACAAATTCATAATTAGTAACAATAATAAATATCACAACAGAACTTGCTTAACGGCAATTATCTTGATCATTGTCGTTCACCTGAAAATATGGTTGATTTGACTCCTCTATTCCTCGTGAGGTATTTATATTTCTTTTCTATGTCATAAGCTCTCCTACATTTCAACAATGGCAGACGATCCAACCGCTTCACATATCAGTCAAAGGCAAGGTGTACTTTAACAAACCAAACTCGAACTACTTAACTTAGGTAGATGTATACACTTTTAAAAATAAAGGATGTATTCTTTATAAAATTGAATCATAGGGATAAACAATTTTCACAAAATTTTAATTCAATTTTTGATTGCATTTTCTGCAATAATATTTAAACTGAAAACTCTATTTCAAAAATATCCTAATTTAATTACTAATACTGAATCCTTGTAAAGGTCAATTATCAACTTCAATAAAAAACATAATAATATGACTATATTTTTAGGAGAGAAAAGAATATCACAAAATTGTAAAATGTCTTATTGTACAAAATTGTAATGTCCTTAAAATTGTTATAAAAAATTATACAAAAATTCAATTTAAAAGGAAAGAATGCTAAAGATCTTATAGACGTCATACCAAAAACGTTCAATCGACTAGACTCGATCGAAATATAAGGTACACCACTTAAAACTACATAAAATATACGCTTAGGAAGAATTGCAAAGGAAATTTTTTAGACGAGAGTCGTCTCGTACAATGAGTGTCCGTCATAGCTGACGTTACTCTCCGATTGTCAGCAATGCGTCGCAACAGTCTGTGTCTGTGGTAGCGACGATGGAGGATACGTTGGTTGCGGCGATGTAGGCGTTTGTCGGCGCAGATTAACTGACGATATGTCGTTGGACTCCAACCACCGAGCCACTTCTGGTGGCATCTCTGGACGTACGTGCGGTACCTATAAGTTATTTTAATTTTTTCTAATAGTTACATTATTCTAGAGTAATTTTCTTGTTAGTGTAAGTCGTCGTGTTTTACTTTCCAAGTCAAAGAAAATAGTTGAAATATACAATGTTTTATGCACATTTTTCATTTTAAAGGTATACATTATGAATAAAAAATAGTAATATCTTTTTTCGTTAGTGCAGTCCTTGAGACGATATTTCTTATTGATTTTATTTAATCTGTTTAGAGCTCACAATCAATTTAAGAATGCGCTCTTTTTAATCATAATACATGGTTTAGTTAGATCGAATTCAAATTATCGCCTTGAAACTTGGAAGTAACTCAAGATATTTGCAATGCAAATGTTCGGAAATTTTAGAGGTCATACCTGAGTGACTCCAGCCTCGAGGTTACCGTTATGCTTGACACCACGATCGATGAGTGCACCCATTACCGTCTCAGCATTGCAGTCAAGTAATCGCTGCCGGCATATTGCTATCGCCCTTATAAATCCATCTGACGGTGTGACAAAACGATGTTCCATGAAGATCGTCTTATCGTCCCAATAAATTATCTGCATAAAATATTAAAATTATGAAGTGATGAAAGTCATTCCGCTTCTATCTAGTTGAAAAATAATAATGTTCTAGGAAACGCGAGTGAAAAGTGCAAACTATGATTTTTTATGAAGATCTTTTACGTATTGTCTACGAATGAAAAGTTTTAGTATCCCATTTACATTCGGACGAAGAAAAACACCTTTTTTATGAAAATACGAGGAAAAGAAACAACAAATTTTTATTTTTTTAAATTCTGAAAATCAACCATCGTTGTATATAACTATCCTTATTTTCTTCGCTATAGAATCATTTGCGAAAGATTTCTTTTACAATTTGTTGATCATGACCGCATGAGTATTATCAGCGGTTCTCAATTATCATAATAAAACAGTGATGAAGCCGTAATGAAGAATTTTTTTCTCTGACAAAATAAAAACATCCGGTAAAAAGTTTTAACGATTCATTTATCTTATTCACAAATTGTTATCAACACTGATAAATATAGATTAAAAAAAACTTTTTTAATTAATAACTCACCTTAGATGTAATCTTAAAAATGGTGAGAGGCCTCAGAAATCTTCTGTACCTGATTGTGGCAGCTCCTTGTACAACTCCTGATCCGTGAGAGCAAATCTCGCGATAAAGATTTGTGCGCTCATAGAAATCCGCTCGGGCAAAGTCGAGTTCACGCAGGTAGCGCGCATTGTTCATGTGATTCAACAACCAATCTATATCCGTGGTCGTGCATAATGCTAAAAAATGATGAAGTTAAAATTTAATAAAAATAAAGTTTTTTATTTCAAATAAAGACACATAAAAGTATTAGCGAATATACAGTTTTTAATTCAGAAAGTCAATCATGCCTGACCATACTGACATTCATCTACTGATTTTTAAAAAAATTTGAACATCTTTTATATTATTATGCTATATTAAATTAAGTTATCCAATTCCACTTATTCTATTCCAATTCATCCTAAAAAATGTTGTCTATTTACTTTATCTATTGATAATTACACAAACTACGTCAGATAATTTTCTTATTTTAAGTAATTTTTTATTTTAAGGAAACAATTCTATCGTGACTTTTATGTCAGTTATATATTGCAGGTCGATTGACTTTATTTTACTAGACTATCCATTCTGCCATACGACACGTTATTCAGTCTCTCACTTCAATTTCCAATCACAAAACTGGCGTATCAATGGTATTAGAAACTTCACTAGACTGAATTTTTTCACAAGTAATAAAAAACTAACAATAGTTTTGAAGTATTTTTTTACTAAAGAGGAACTGGAAAAATAGAGTCGCTCAATTTAATATGACAAAGCAAATGAATTCCACTTAATAGCACAGTTTTTTTTCAAGAGAGAATACATAGAGAGAAGAGAAGATAGGAAGGCTGCAGGAGTCTTTGGGCGGCCGGTATAATCAATAAAATCGCTCTCTTTTCGTATGTATAAACTGAAGCGAGACGCTCAGCTGTTCCCACCGTGACACTGAATGTCAAGGTCACTCGACTGCGACTCTACGGATTCCTAAATTCTGTTTGCAGATATGCCTAAGTTATTTCGTATTCTAGACTGGGCTTTCCAGCTCCAGTATTTTACATAATATTTGACAGAAATAGCAATAAGTCTTGCTGTTATTAAACAGAAGATATTTGTTTCCGCCTCGTTAAATTTGATGTTTCATGGTATTGTGAAATTTATCACAAGTATGAATTAAAATTTGCTAAAACTACTTATATCGTACAAACAGTGTCATCGATAATTGTCTATTCATCATGTAATACGCTATCACATCAGCATTAGATAATATTTGGATTTATAGAAGGCGAGTCCATAATTTATCCACGGTGATTTTTTGATTGCTATATGTGAAATCCATTGGATAAGATGATATGGCAACCAGTAAATAATACTACAATTTGTATTGTAGACCCGTTACTAGCACAATGCTAGCCGGCAATATTAGCATTTTTGGCTTTCCGCATAAATTATTTTGACTTCGTACGATGATCCATTTACTCTATAAGAATCAGCAAAGACGAAAAAATTGAAAGTAAAGCAAAGGAAGAAAGCAATTTCATCGTAGTTGGTGCGGGATATCCTAGGTGCATGCTTGCTAATCGGCTGAGTGGAATTAAGGATTGGTAGGTATCGAGAGCCTGCATGAATTTTATCAAACTAACAGATCGATTATTTTCACTTTTGGAAACTGACGATGAGGAACCTATGATCCCTGCGTGCCTCCTATGACTCATCTTCTAGTGAATAGTAATATGGATTATTCATAACAAATCCTACCTGAGCTATTTTCATGTATTAACGATCTAGATACATCTTTTTACTGGTCACGCGTCAAACTAATGGCTGGTAACAGTTCTATCAATGGAATGTGGTATGCTCGTGGCGGTAAAGAAGATTAAGATCAATGGGCTAGTTTAGGTAACACAGACTGGAACATAGAAGATGTTTTGGCATACGTCAAAAACTAGGAAGACTCAAGAATACCAGAAATAAGCTTCGATTCTTTGATTCCATTCGAAATAACTGTATTTGAGATCAAAGAAGTCATTTTATTGATGCCAGTTTTTACAAATATTTTTAATAACATAACTTCTGTAAGACTGGCAATAATTAGCATTGAACAGCTACAATTAATCAGTATAATTTTGCAGCTAACAGCTTCAACAACCAAATTAATCTTATTTAATATTTGAAATAAAAACCGCCCTAAACGCTCACGCAGTGTCATTGTGTGCAAGTACGTAAGTGTTCAAGATCCGGATAGCCGCGGTGTCGACCGCGCCGATGCATTATTTCGCCGCATTGCATCCGAAGGCCATCGCAAGCTACGAGATACGGCAATTTCGTTTCCCTGACCTTCTCACATTCCAGCATTGTTTCGCGTGCTTGTGTATACACACGCTTTAATGAGCATCCAACAGAAATGATCCATTCTTCTTGTCTATGGATATTTAATGAGGCGTATTGCGGAATATTAATAATTCAACGGACCTTCGACAAAACTCTTCACCGTGTTCTAAATTGACGAGTTTTCTTTTTAACACGTAAGAAGATGTTCATGATTGAAATTATGACTTTATAAAGAACGAATATTATCAAGATCGCAACTAAAAATTTCTTTTTCGCATGTCATATCGAACCAGCTATTAAATGATAGTGTCTTTCGATAAGCAGAAAAACTCACCATAAATCGAAGTCTCCTCAAGAATATGAACGCGTTTTCGGCAAAACCTGGCGAAGAACACAGTAGCGAACATGCGTATAAAGTAGTGCACCTCGAAAAGTGTGTGCAAGAGCACAAGTGCCCCCAGCACGCCGACCAAGACCCAGCACGCGATCATACCGTCTGAGTGCGTATTTTTGTCTCTTCGAGATTCCCTTGGAGCTCTTCCTTTGTAATCTGGGCGACCTGTAAGAGTAAAAAAAAATTGTCTGCTTGACAGGTGAATTTCGCAATTTTATTGGTAACAGGGAGGGCACAAGACGCTCACTTGCATGCTTGATAAAGGAATTAATTTCACGTAGGATGACCTTGTTGTCTGGTTGGGAATATATATTTCACCGAAAGGCAAAATTCTTCCGGATTGTCGAAATGATTAATGCTGTAACGAATATATTAAGTTTTTACAGAATGCAATAAAATAATAAAAGTATTGAATACAAAATTTTCCCCGCCGAGAAACCTATGATAATTTATCTAATGGTCTAGTTAGCATCAAAATAAAAATCTCTAAATATTCTAAAAAAGAAAACAAGAAATATATCTACATACCGTTGAAAACTCTCAGGTCCGTGAAAGACGACGCTGTTGATGGTGACTGCACATCGTCATTCTCGATCTCGTCGTCGATGAAAGGCCAGTGCACCTAAGGCCTCTCATTCTGCGTCTTCCTCACGTTTTCTCTCTCTCTCTCTCTCTCTCTCTCTTCCTCTCGGTAGTTGTAAGATATAAGTCGACGATGAAAAGGGCTAAGGCTTAGCTTTAGACCTGAAATGAACGAGTCTCGTTAGTGAAATGTGTGTCGTCGCAGTGCAATCAAGTAGTCTCTTGACTCTTGCAGGGTTGAATGTTTGCTCAACCAAGATTAGACATGAGGTTAAGTTTCATTGTGTTGCTTGTGGTTTTCTTTTTGCATTTTGTTTTTGTTTATTTACACGGAGGTGCGTGTTGTCCTTTAATATTTGAAACAAATTCTTTGAAAGTGAAAGTCAATGCAAATAAGAATCTTTAACACAGCGAGCTTGACAATAATGACATCCGCAATTTCACCGACGCACCTTCTGCACAAATTAAATAAGTACTTAGTCGAGAAGAGCAAACTTACGAAGGTATACTTGCGGTAAGACAAACATCATTATATGTTGCGTGAAACCAGCCAAAAACAAATTAACTATCACCAAAGCATCAAACACATAAACGAAAGTCTTGCCGGTGGAATTGTGTAAAAAAGAAAAGCAAAAACTCGGAGCACGTACATCTCGTACGTGGACTTTATATTCCACGCATTTGTCGAAGATACTTGTTGTTTGACACGTAAAAGAAAAAGTGGCGTAATTTCCAGTGAGTTCGATCGATCGTTGATTGTGTTTTCACACGCGGTGATAAAAATACAGAAAGTTACTCGACACTCCTTGTCGAAGATTGTTCGATATTCTGGGTATTGAAGTGTCGGTGTGAGCGTAAGTTTTTGTTTTTTGACATGAAGAAAATTGTGTGGGATTGTCAGCTTAACGTTATCGAAATAGGATTCAACTGTGATGTATAAACTGTTTGGATTATCTCATCAAACACAGATTTGTATTAATTTATTTAACAAAATTATTTCAAATTTAATATTTTTTTAAACTACGTATTACTCAACGTAAAAATGTAAAGACAAAATTCAGCCAATGGTACCTCTAAACTCGTTGACAAAGATATATTCATCACTTTAAGGACTGTTATACTACAGATCATGAATATATTTTCTTTTCTTATTTATTTTACTTCAAAAAAAAATAATAAATAAAAAACATTACATTTAAAATTAACTCAATCTGTAATATTGAAAAATTACACTTATATGGTAACGAGATAAACTATTAAAATTAAGAAATCGTTTATGCTTATCTTAGCTCATTTCTGGGTAACGGTTATACAATTTTATATCTCAATGTTTTCTATATTCTTACGTTATTCACAGACGATTTAGTGAGCGCCAATTAGTCACCATTATAAATGTCACCGATAATGCCGAGTAACAATTGCAATTTCATAATGGTCCGCAAAAAGCGAGTGAACGATAATAAAGCGTTTGTGTTGCATGAGCGTAAATGTTCAGACCAGACCTTATGTTTACGGATGACACGAGAACATATACGCGTGCAGAAATAATTCTCTTCTATATCTACAATGGAGCACAGTTCAAACTTTTCAACTTCAATCGTAATCGCTTTAAAGTAAGTATTGTACAATTTGTTAATGCAATTAACCTCTTTCTAACTGTGTGGTTGGTAAATAAGAGGCTTTCATACCTATCGTCGTATTAACAAAACTTAATTCAATTAGCGCTTTCTTTACATTCACGCCTACGGAATAATATGAAACTCAATATTAACGAAAAGTGAAACAACATTAATGTCGTAGTGTCATTGCGCTTACAACATGTGTAAAATGACTCAAAGAAAAGTAAAAAAATATTTTGCTCTCAATTTAAATCTTAAATAAAAAAAATATCGCAATCGTAAACATGTTTTCTTGTTTGCACGTTGGCATTACAATGTTGTATTTACAATTGACCTTTCGCCATTAATCTTCTGTCATTTTTTTTCATTTTACAAACGTCATAGCATTAATTAACTTCTAAAATAAAAAATTGTATCTCTATCAGTCACACATAAATTCATCCAGTAGCAGCTGTCATGAATATAAATACAAAATTTAAACAAAAATGTCTTACAAGACGCGTAACTGAATATCAAACGTTCAAAAGTTCTCGTCGGTGAGTAACAAAAACACGACAAATGTTGCAATGAAAAAAGTTAAAAATGTATATACGGAACAACCAACACAATTGTCTTAGTATATATTTCCTAGCAACTGTAGTATGTGAGCACAGAGGCGTTCGCAAGTACGTAACAAGGAAAGAACACGGTATATGTACGCAGGCACACCACGCAAATCAATAAAGGACGACGAGGGAGAGAGAAAGAGAGCAAAAATGACAAGACAAAGCTCACAACGCGACGCACTCTCGCGGCTGACGCACGTGCGTGTGCGTTTGTATACGCAATATGCTTCCTTAAGTGCAGCACACAAAAATCAAACGAATCGCGCACACACGCGCGCCGAAAATTCAACGGAAAAACTTTCAATTTCACTTGCGTACCTCCGACCCATTTCACTTAACGGCGACGCGTGACATAACTCGACGCCGCGCACTACGCCATTGGCACGTCAGCCAAAAAACTGCTCGCCAGGATTCCCAAGCAAACTAAGCACAAGCTCGCAACTTTGTAAATAAACTTGGTCCACTTGCGGCGCGCGCACGCCTAGACTTCAAGTGGCCGTGCTTGCGTGTAGGCATAATAAAATGCCGCTCACCTATAGAAATCGAAAAGAGCTGGCGCATGCTGCAATACCGGTTTTGGCCGCAGCTGAGGCCGATCGCGCGCGCGCGCGCGCGCGTTCTCCAGATACTCGCATGGTCTGCGCGCGTTTTTCTCTCTCGCTCTCTTCCCATTATACTGATGCGTCGCAGCGTGACGCTCAAGTTTTCCCAAGTAAAGGCACAAGTTCGCGCGAGCGCGCCTAGCTAGCAACGATTGTCGGCCACGTGAAAAAGTTGCGTGACCTAGTTAGATTCGAATTACGCAAGAAAGAATGCATGCGCGCGTGCAGTGCGCGCACGAGATGCAATAATTATTACATAAAGCGATTTTGAGAAACTGCGCCGATTTCTGAATCAGCCTGATTTTCTTTTCGCGATCGCGAGGAACGCTCACGCGCAAAAATTATGCACCGACGAGATCATGACGAATCGCATACGCACCGAATATATCTTTGTCGAATCGGTTGAGAACTAACAAATTATATCGATGAACATTGGCAAGTGATAGCTGAATTTGAATGGTCAAAAATTACGTGTGGAAAATCCATATTGTCATTCATCATCCGAGCATTCTGTAACATTATTTTTTGGCGGCACAATAATGATACTATCAGCGTTGATGAATTTACTCGTTATCAAGATTGACGGCGGTTGGCAGTAATAAAATTTTCTCGCTCACTCTTTCAAAGATCACATCGTTCCGATAATTGCTTTGACCACACGCGAGACCTTGTCATTACAAGCTATATGTCTCCCTCTCTTCGTGAATTTTAATATTTGAAACAATTATTACAAAGCGCTTTCCGATGAGTCAAAGGCAAGAATCTCAGAGATTATTGTTAAAAGATGTGTAAGAAATTGAGCTATCTATATCTGTCTCATCTAATATTCCCGTGACCTTCAAGCGAACTGATGTAAATAATTTTTTTCTTCTACGTCTCTGATGAATCTATTATTCTGCACATTTAATAATCATAGTAACGGAGCTGTTGCATAAGCCACGCACTCGATAAATCAAATAATACGTAGGATGCATCATTGACGGCTCATACGCGTGTGAATGACAAAACCATTTCCTGTGTAGTGTCAATATTTATTCAAGATCGAAGAGTCCACAGAAAATAATTATTCTGCCGTACAGATGATAGTTTCAATATTACTGTAACCATTGATTGGTCAGATTTTCAAGTCTAATCAAAGTTCTAGTTTTTGATTTCATAAAAATGATTTACTTCAATTATACAGAGCTGAACAAGTCAAGTTTGAAAAATATATTTGTCTTCGATTTTCCAATACAATGTATTCTTGAACTTGGCGTTTAGCATTTCATATTCATTGATCATTAGTCGTGAATAATACTCAATCGAAAAAATAATACGAAGTAACACTCGAAGTATCGAACAAAATTCACTATTAATTTAGTTATACTTTTCCACAGTTTTTTTGTCGCTTCGCGCAAAACCAACATTGATATATTGTCATTTTATGAAAAACCATTACAAACATGACAATAAAAAATTGTACGTCAAGTTCGTAAATCGTCTAGGCCACCTTCATCGAAAAATAATTCAGTATTTCTCCAACTTATACAATATGATAACGAGTCCATCTACAAAACATCGTCCGAATCAAAAATAATCACCGATTAACTCACCCTCTTTTTTTGTTACACAAAGGGGCAGTCGGCTACCGGTGACACGCACATCCTGCGTATCGATCGACTAAAGCCACTTACATGTATGCATATACAGTGTTGCGATAAACGCGTACGCGCCGATAGCACCGCGCACCAACTCAGCAGAGCTACGACTGACCGAAGCCTGAAGCTGTGCCGGCACAACGATATGTCTTCTCTTGCGCGCAAGCGCCAAGCTTCCGGGTGCACTCTCGCATATTATAGGCGGGGGGCCTAAAGCAGGGATTAAAGGATTTTTTTCCAAGGTAAATACATTGTTCCTATGCGCAAAATATACCTGTGTAGTTCTTCGCTACGTGTGTTCTTTTTGCTATTAAAAATAGAACAATGATTGTAAAGCTGTTAATTTTTCATTGGAGTAATATTATTAGTTCTTATTAAGTTTGACTAACTATATTATGAAGCTTTCATCTTCACTTCATTGTAATATTAAACTCATAGTACTTTAAAAAAATGTACAAAATATTAGCATAATAAAATTTTTGACAAAAACACAAACGGTCGGTTAAGTTCATCATTTATGTGCAGAAGCATCTAGTCTCATGGAAATTAATTATCACTCAGTTATAACTAGTTGATTATTCGCGAAAAAGCTTTTAACATCGATAAACCAGAAAAAAAGATGTACCACGACATTGAAAGTTTTTCATAGAATATAATTGAGTATTCCAATTAAAGCGATTTTTTTCCGAGAGGTACTATCACCAAATTTTGCACTTTCTCATAATGCAACAGAAATGGCTAACTCAGTGTTTAAAGCTACTATTTGTTTTTTACAGACGTTCTAGAGAGGCATCGTCACTTACAGCAAACTGTAAGCTAATAATTTTCCCGTACTCGAATTCATATCTCTTTAGAAATCTTTCAATTATTTTGTGCTATTAGTGTCAGTCGTATAAATGAATAGTCTTGTTAGTAATGACCATACTGTCTAATTCAACAGTGTACAGAGTCTGTAATTCTGCAATAGGTATTATTTACGTTTCGTACCTTAATTAAATGATTGTAACTAATTACACTTACTTTACATACTATAACATATCCAAGATAAAGTAGCTAAATTTCATATATCAAATAAAACTTATTAAATGTAGATTATTAAAGTAACATTACGAATTCAAAAAACGTTAAATGTACACAGATAACATTTTGAAACGCAGTTGCATCTTTGTTCACGTTAAGATGTTGATCTGCATTTTAATGTATTCGTACTAACGAGTATTGAAAAAACTTTTTTTTATAGTTTAGAAATTTGAATTGCAATAACTGATCCGACAATGACCGAAGGATGACTCTGCAAACTAAAAAAACTGTCTATTTGCTAACAAAAAAAAAATTTTTTTAACAAGTTTACTGAAGTGTTACGTCGTAAAACATTTTTAGACTTAAAAGTTTTGTGAATTCACAATGAAAAAAACCTAAAGGAGTGTGAAACAATGGCCATCGCACGAAGCCATACATGTTAGTGCGCGTAATTGGAAAGACTAATTAGAACTGACGTCAAATAGAGTCCAGGCGGACAATCGATTAGATAGTTACTCATCTCGCGGAATCGTTAGGAGCTCGTATAGAGACAGATAAAAAAGAGCGTAGCGTCATCTAATAGTACGAAGCTTTTTTCTCGCAATTTGTTTGAGTGATATTATCATATTAATGCGCTATATATGCGCGAGACATCATTTCGTAGGATCGCATTTGTAATTCTGTGAGTAGCCGTTGCAAATTTTTACATGACGTGTCTTTCTTGAAAACAGCGCAGTGGTAAATCCCCATTCGAAATATAGAACTTTTATTAGTAAGACTAACGTTGAATATATCTTAAACAAATTATGGTTCAATAAAGTTGACAAAATACCGGTAAAAATAGAAAATTAAACGATTGATTTGATTCGGCAACATCAAGGAAATTACGACTTTTTCTTCTTTCTATATAACTTTATTATTTCTAAGATCTAAGAGGGGACTTACCACTTTTTAAAATGTTTATGACTCCAACCAAACTTCTCCACTATTCGCTTACGATAATTACTTTAATTTAAGATTCAATAGACAAATAATTGCTATTTATGCGCTATTGAAAAATACACCAACGTTTTTATAATTGGATTTGAAAAGCTGTTTGAATAGGTTTAGAAAAAAAAACAAATGATAAGTCATATGATAAATTGGTTGTTCAAATAAAATTTAATTTTTTTATTTTGAATAATACTAGTGAAAGCGATAATGCACGTTATATTGGCACCAAGCTTTTGTTATTTGAGAAGCATTTACAATATACATGAATGATTATAATCGATTAAGAAATATTACATTTATTTTAGCGTTTAATAAAAAAATGTATTTCAGCGAACATTTTTTCAAAGAATATACTTTGAAAAATTGTTTAATTGAGCAATCTTACGACGAGACTTTGGCTAATAAGTAGATAACAATTATAATTATAAAAACTTTGTAAAATTGCATATCATAACAAATGTGAAGCCTATACATATCTACTATGATAGCTATAATATAACTGCATGATAAAACTTCGTAAAAATTAGTTTTTAATATTTATCATTTTGTTTTAATTCTTTGTTGTGTTTATACAGTATGTCCGCACTTAAATAAGGTCCTAGATTTACCATAAAATAATGACCACTTCATGCAAAGAATTCTCAGAAACACCATATACTCTCGAACCTTCAGCAATCTGGTTGGCCGTGAAAAGCCGATCGGCTACTTACTACAAGATGTGCTTCGTTTTATAAGAACTCGAACTGCAAACGTTGCATTTTTTCGTTTTGTCGATCTTTCTAGAAAATGTTACTGCACTAGACAATGAATAAAACGCTGTCAATCCATTAGACATTAGCTTATTTTCGTGTTTTCTTTTAATTGTTATTTAATGTTTTTTATTTACTTCATGATTTTTAGAAAATTAATTAATTAATTTTATTTTCTAAATTTATAATTATTTATAATTCCCAATCCACAGTGTACAAATTTGCAGAATAAATAACTATTCTTATGCTATTATTTTTGTATATGAAAAATGACATTATTTTACAGTGACATCCATATTTTAGCATTCCCATTTCAACAATGGTAATATCAAAAGGTATTTGAGTTTGGCGTAAAAGATCTACTCCACTACATATCAGTCATTTTAGGGTATTAAGCAACAAGCATGTACTCAGTCACTAGCCATATACGAAATTTAGAACAGAAGTAATATGGAGATGGTCAACTATTTTTCCACCAGTATAATCTATTATTTTATGAAAGAATAAAGAATGTGGCTGTCTAAAAGTTTTTTTCAACCAAAAAACTGTTGTTAAAAAGAAATTATGGTAATGATAGTTCAAGTTTCAAAATAAAAGCAATAATAATTTAATAATTTAATAATAAAATAATTAATGAATTAATTAATTTTATTTTTTAATAATAATTTCTATGCTCACTAACTGAATTTTTGCAACCATACAACTCGTTAATATTTATCACAATTTCTAATAAACATTTTCTTTCTTCTGATGTTTTCACATCTTTAAAAATTTTCATCCATGTCTTTATAGTCAGTTTGTGACTAGATATTTTCAATTTCACATTATTACTAACAATAACATATATTCTATTCAAACCTATTTCATTTTGCTCAAGACATTTTCAAATATTTTTATGCTTATTTCAGCTATTTCAACCATTTGGGTATAAATTAAACATAACACTTTTAATCGTTTTAATATGTTGTATTAAAATATTTTTTATTAAAACAATTAGTTATTGTATATACTTCAAAACTAAAAAAATGTATTATCACAAAATTGTAAATTACCGATAAAGCTCTGTAAAGCCATATCATGGAATCTAGTTTTTGCATATAAAATAAATATAATTGGAATCAGCTGATCAATGATTTCCAAGTTTGTAAAAAGCGCGAAAGCATATAAAATTTAAATTTCGACACATCTAATGATATTTTATCATTATTTCACTAAATTTCATTAAATTTACCAAAATTAAAAGACCAATCACAATATTTCACAAACTTATGAGTCAGAAATGTTAAAAACGTTTATATTTATGACAAATTAATTTCTTCGAATCTTTGTAAAAATTACAAAAATTATTTTAAAATTAATAAAATTATAAATTACAGTCTATCTAGAAGTATCTAATGAAGTATAAAACATCCGTTATCATAATATTTTACAAAATATGCTTCGTCGATGTTTCATTATTAAACTACAACTTGTTTAATCAAAAACAATAAATAGAGAACAATGATTACTTTCTGTTAATCTGATCATAACATTGATTTGTAATAAATATAAATAAATATTTTTCAATTAATTGAATATTTGATACTCTTTGTAGCTTTTAAATAAAAATGTGTAAGTGTATTATAAGTCCAATAATTAATTAATCTATGCTATTTTCAAAGCTTGACTAATTATGCAATTTACTTATCACTATTTACTTTTGAATATAAATATAACTATTATAGTAGGAAAATAAATGTTTCAAAATTCTTAATGTATAACTACTCAATTCTTTATAAAGAAGCAAACAGATCATACTCAAAAAAATCTTTTTTTTCCTCTAGCATTTGCTCTTCTATTTCTGCTTCACTTAATTTTTCTTGTTCTTTAGACTCTTCCATAACTTCAACATCTTCATTAATGATATCTTTTGTTTCTATCAAATTTTCTAGACTATTACTATTTGAATTTGAAAGCAAATAATCAACTTTTTCCTTTTCCTTCTTTTCGTCTTCTCCCAAAGCTTTTAACTCTCTTGTAATTTCATCTATATTTGTAAGTTCATGAGACTGATCTTGTACATTTAGTTTATCCGTACTTAACTCAAATTCATTTAATTTATTAATAATAACGAATGGCTCATCTATTGGTTTATAAGGAGTCAAAGGTAAGTCATAAGGTAATAAAAATAATGGTGCTTTGGTATTTTCAGTATTTTTGATTGGAAATGCCGTTTGATTAATCTGAAAATTTTAAATCAATGTTAAAATGATGTATTCTTAATAAATTACCTTCAAGAATTTTTCAACTCACCAATATATCCGGAATAAAAACCACACCTACTTCGTAATTGTTAATATAAAATACTCTACCTCTCATAATCTTACCCCAAGCACCTTTACTGACATTTGCACTAGTCAAAACAAACCAAGGAATTTCAGTTTCATCTGGTGAAATTCTAGTATAACACTTGCAATGAGGCATAGCCCTGGTTCTATCAATTTTGTCAGATTTCCACTCACTATACATAAAAAAAATATTTAAAATATCAATGTTTTAAAAACATTTGGTTAAAATTGTTTCAATACATACTGCAGAAAGCTTTTTATCCATGGTTGCTTTTTATGATTGTCTTCATTATACATGAGACAGGTAACACCCATTTGACTATCAAAACTTTGGCTGTAGTTTAATTGAGAGGGAAATATATATTTAAATTCTGGGAATTTGATGATACTTTTATCTTTTTCCATAGCCATAGTATGAGCAAACTGATTTTGTAACCAGCCATGATATCCTTTACCAAAAACTCCTATAGCTGAGCTTTGAGCAATTATTGGCCATTCTTGAGCAGACTGCGGCAGTACAGCATGTTTTGACAATATGTTAAAAAGTCTTTTATGGCCATATAATTCTATTCTATGACCTTCATGGTATCCAGGAACAGATGTAAGAAGAAAAACTTTTACAGCTGAAAAATCGGTCCTGTGCATCAAAGCTTGCCAGCCATAAACATCTGGTACGGTATATACACTCAAATAAGCAATAAAATCTCTTTTAAAATTTGTAACAGATTCTCCATCTGTATCTTCAGCATTCTCTGGAAGATGGGGCAAAACTGGAGATATCCAAAGTCTGTTAACAAAAAAGAAATAATATAAATATTTTTATTCAATATGAAAAATTATTATTGACACTTGCCCTTGCGTTCTTGTTTGCCAGTCTAGGTAATAATAGTTTGCTGTAGAAATAATAATTCTAATACTCTGGTTTTTGTACTTAAGGATAGAAACTTTGGAGTGATGAGATCCAAATTTAGGTGTATGAACTTTGACCAAGTTTATATCAAATGGTATATCATATATGTATTGAGCATCTACCAACGTTCCATACAATATAGTCATTTTTGGATCTTGACCAGCTAGCATATATTCAGTAATTATCCATAGCAACTCAACCATATAATTTAAATGTAAGCTCTCAACTATTTCACCTCCAGTATAATCTAATATTTCATGAAAAGCCACAGAAAATGATTGTTTAGCAGTTTCTTCTAATTCATCGACAGTGGACAGAAAGAAATTATATGGTACAGATGACTCAAATTTTGTAGCAAAAGTTCCATGTCTACTTATTATAGTTTTGTCAGAACGAAAGGTTTGTGCAATAGCTGTAGATACATTTCTAAACTTTGCTCTGTCATCTGGTGTAATTAAATTACTGTAAACTCTCATCCATGTGTTTACCGACATGTTTAACCTTTTATCGAACATATCATTTGGACCATACTTTGCATCTTCATTTATACAAATTTTAATATCATCCAAATCTTCTTCTTCCATTTTTATTAACAAAGAAGTGCAGTCAAACAACTTTTAGTTAAAGTAACAATCACAATAATATAACTTGCATACAAAAATTACTCAATAAGTTTTAGAATTTGCACTTAAATACCTTTCTCACTTTTATTCGAATGCAACACGCAACAGTACTTAAATAATATATGCAAAGCTGTATTCAATGTTTTTATATCAAATATTAATATATTTATATATTTAAACTATACTTTTTAGATATCAGTATCAAACGAAATGTGGTTAATTTTTTGTTCGATTTATTTACATTTTTGTTCATTTTCGTTGAATTAGTTTGAAAGCGTCTAGTGCGCATGCGCATCTTTATTTCTCTAAGCTCGCGCATATTTATGAAAAATAAATTGACCTGAAATTATGATGAATTTAAGCATTCATCTTTTATTAATTTTTGTCAAAACACGTATCACTATGATTTTTCTAATTTGAAGAAGAAACATAAATTTACAAGGAAATAAGTGGGACGTAAAGTAATAAAAAATATATATGTATATATAGACATTATTAATATATTCAAATAAATTAGATGTTTTAAACATAGTTACACAATACGAAAATAGAATATTGTAGAAAATTCAATATCCATACACAAATTAATTCAAACCAACACACGTCTTACATTTTTCTTTATATCATCATCAATAGTCAATTCTCATATTTTTTCGTCTTACAGTTTTTGGCTATCATGGAGAAAATCACCGACAAATGGCACATCGTCTCTTTTATACTTAGTAAGAGGAAGATCATAAGGGAGTCTGAATATTGGAACGTTTGAAGAGCAAGATTCTTTCAGTGGAAACGTAGTTTGATTTATCTACATGAAAAATAGAAGTGAATTTAATAGATAGTAGAAATCTTTTTCACTTATGAAAAAATAGTACATTACGATACAAGTGCGGGAAAGTAGATTCTCGTCTCGTGTGGCGTTTATACCCGAGCGAAGCGAGGGTAGAAAGATACACGAGACGAGAAACTCTTTCCCGAACATGTGCCGTACCGTATTTTTTTATACGACGTGTGGAAAGTGCGATTTTCAACGCACGTTTTTTGCCGAGCGTGCGGGAAAAACGCACCTTCCGCACAGAGTGTTGAAAAAAAACTTACGATAAATGTCGGTATAAAAACTACTCCCGCTTCATAATTCATAATATAATGTGAAGCTCCTGCTTTAGCAGTTGTTCCCCATGCCGCTTTGCTTAGATTAGCACTTGTCAAGACAAACCATGGAATTTGTAATCGGTCTGGTGAAAGCCTTGTATAAGATTTCACGTGAGGCATTGCTTTAGTGCGACCAGTTTCATCAGCTTTCCACTGACTGCAAAAAAGTAATTTAATTTCATTAACATATGTGATAATATATTTAAAAATAAAAAAATCTTAACTAATACATTTTATATTATACATACTATAAATAATTCTCTAGCCACTCCTGTTTTTCATGACTTTTTCTTGAATATGGGAAACAGGAAGAACCAGCTCTACAATCAAAACTGCTTTCATAATTTTTCAGAGAGGGATAAATAAATTGGAAATTAGGATTGCTCTTAATACCCTTGACTTTTTCTCTGGACATTGAAAATACTATATTAGATCCTATCCAACTATCAAAATTAGGACCTAAAACACCTATACTAGAGCTTTGTGCAACCAATGTCCATTGGGGAGCATCAGCAGGTAATACTGCATGATCATTCAAAATTGCTGCAAGTCTTCTATGACCCCAAGAATTCAAACTTCGACCTTTGTGACTACCAGGGACTGATGCAATGAAAAATACATTTACACTTGAAAAATCAGCTTTTTTTACCAAATGTTCCCATTCAACTAATTTTGGATTATGATAAGCAGCAAGGTATTCTCTGAAACTTTTCTTAAAATTTGTAGGAGACTCTCCATCACTTGGATTTGCTGAATCTGGTAATTGTGGTAAATGAGGTGACATCCACAATCTAAAAAAAGACAATAAATAATATATTAATTATTATATTTATCACAAATGAAAATAATTAAAAAGTTTGTAAAAACTTGCCCCTGAGTTCTATTGTCCCAATCATCAGAATATAAATTAGCAGTTGAAACTATAATCCTGATTCCACCGTCATTATACTTAATAATTGAAACTTTTGAATGATGACATCCATAAGCAGTTGGTAATTTAACTTGAATCAGATTAATATTAGGTGGTAACGAAGTCTGTGGATCACACAGTTCTCCATAAAAAATAGTCATTTTTGCAGTTTGTGCAGCCAACAAATATTGGAGGCACAACCAACCAAGTTCAACCATAAAATTTATATGAAGACTATTAACTATTTCCCCTAGACTTACATCAAGTAATTCAGGAAATGAAACTGTGAATTGCTGTTCATGCGTTACTTTTGATTTTTCAACTCTGTTAAAAAAATAATGGTATGGAGCTGACAATGCATATTTTAATGCAAATTCTCCTGGAGTGACTAAATTTACAACATAACCAGATTTTCTCATCCTATCTATTGCTTGAGTTCTTACTTTTTCTTTTGCCAATGTATCAGTAGATGATATAAAACTCTCTATAAATGATCTTCCTGACAATGATGATTGACTAGATGACTGAGAGCTACTACTTTGAGAATTAGTACTTGAAAAACTGAAACTCATAGAATCATCTGATTTTTCTTTTAGTATGCTTTCATTCTTGTATTTTTTTGTTGTAGATTGTTCACTATCAGTTGACAATATTCTTTTTTTATTTGTACAAGAATTATCATCAGGAATCATAGCCTTTAAATCCATATCTTTCAATTTATTTTGTCTTTTCTGTTCTGTGTCTTGTTTATGTTTGAAAATTTTTGCTTTCCAATCATCAAGGTTTTTATCTCTTTGAGGTTCTTTTTTCAGCGTTACACTAATGGTAGCCTTACTCAATGATGCTGAGCCATCATTTTTATCCCTTTCTTTTCTTAAAACCATCTGTAAAACTTTGAGCTGATCTAGTAATTGTATGCGGTCTGTACATTCAAACTCCAAATCACGAGGTATGGTAATTGCTTCATCAAGTTGATTGAGTATTAACTTTTCCACTGTTACAGCATATGTGAAATAAAATAAAGTTAATCAAAATAAATAATTAGGATTTCAAAATATAAAATTACAAAACTTACAGTGAGGATGTGACATTTCATTGAAATGAATGGGATTTTTCCTATAACACTTATCTTTGTATGGGCATAATTTTTTTTCTATAAAAGAACATATATAAGCTTTAAATTAATCATTGTCATGTTTTACAATTTATTGTTTTGGTTAATTATTGAAAAAAAAAGAACATACCTCCAACATTATTACTGTTTATTATATTATTCATAATGAAAATTGCGTCTTTTTGAGACGTACTCCAATATTAATTAAACGGAATTTTGATAAAATTTTAAACAATAAACGTAATTATTTAATGTGCGTTGGACAAATACATTTTAAAAATTTGTGTTATACATATATATTTGCAATATGTCAGATTACCGTCATTCTTTTCTTAACCTGCATGGCTATATAACCTAAATTGCAAGTAACTTTTTGTTATAATTCAATAGATGTCGCGATATAGCTCGAATGGTGGAAAAAATACTGAAGCCTGTAGCATAAACGGAAATTGAAACAATTAACTTCATGTTTACAATGTGTGAAGTGTTATTATATTATCTCTGTAAATTAAATTTACACTCACTATTATTGCTGTTTTTTTTTATTTATAGTTTCATAAGTTAATAAAATTACTTTCATTAATCTATTATGACTAAGAAAAGTTTTACAACTATTTTATTTTAATTGAAGTAATGAGATGATGATTCCATTTAACCATTAGTTCTAAATGTTGAATAATATATTTTTCATCGATCCCGTAAAAAAATACACTATACTCCAAATAGGAAATTTCACAGCATGTCAAAACTTTCACAACCACGAATACTTCTTGGAATATCAATACACGCGCGCCTACTCATCAAAAAGAAAATAACCAGAAACCTACCATATGGCTGATTCACAAAATCTGAATTCCCGAATGGAGTGAAACAGAGCCAACATTTAGCAAATAATTTTATCACTGAATGAATCAAGCCCCAAAATGTTTATTACAGCATTCTTATGGAAGCAAAGCAGCTTTCATTAGTCAGGAGGATGCTACCCTCATCCATTTCATCTATAGATACGGGATTGGAGAAATAGAAATCCTTATCGTTCGAACGTCTCAAATTACGATTTATTTATGCTGACTACTATACCGTTTATGTACATACTTCTGAGTTTCCGGTCCTCGCTGGAATTCAATTTTCTTGTTTTGATGTCCGTTGGCAAAGTAAACATAATTTTTTAATGCAAATAAATCGGAATCGGTGTCAAACGCGCTTGCATATCCGAACGAACAAATGGAAAAAAAAAGAAAAAAAGAGATCGTGACATGTCTGGTCATAGCACGAATTTGACCATTCAAATATTATATCCCTTATATAAATGTGAAAGATATCTGCTATTTTCATCCATCATCGCTGCGTGACACGCTCGCATCGCGCCAAGTCAAGGAAAGCTTCCGAAACAACGCAGTCGCTCAGGAACAATAAGCGTTCAAGTTACCAAAACCAAAATGTACGTCATGCCAAGGCAAACAATCTTCCTACAACATTGCTCCTCGCCGTGGACGAGGAATTTTGACAGTGCGCGCGGGATTTGCCGCGAACGCGATATAGTCCGCAAGAGGTTTAGGAATGACGCGCGCGCGCACGGGAATTCGGCGCCTACACGAACGACGGATGACGTCTCGGTGTATTCGTACTACACGTAGGAGGGTGGGAGGCGTCGCGGCGCCGATGCTAAGCTCAGTCACCGCCCAGACTGCGCCGCGCGCGATTCACGCACTCTCCGATTCTCTCCCCCTTTATTTGACTCGCAGTCTTCCGATCTCTCTTCGGCGCACTCACCCACGCCTACAATCGAATCCCCTCGTTGCGTTGACTCAGCTCAACGATCAGTCTCTCTTTTCTTCGAGACTGAGCGGATCAAGTAATAGAAGTTCGACAAGGGAAAAAATTGCTTTATTTTTAAATTGGCGCGCGTAGGAAATTTAAATTTTTCGGCGCTTTTGCCGATAAGATGTGCTGATATTCGTGAGTTCAAATGGAGGATTCGGGTAATTGAAGCACTTTTCATTGCTTAAGTGTTTCTATGGTGTTTGACGATGTGAATTTTTGCTATCCGATTCTCTGCATGATTTTTAGTCTTACGGTTCCTCAAACCCTCGACGCTGTCGTACTTGATTGCTGTTATTTAAAGTATCATCGATATAATGCTGTAACAGACTACTGTACACGTTAATGTTATTACTATAGTGAAGATGTAAAAGTTTAATTCCAGCTGTTACTGTCGTTTTCGCGACTCTGTTCGTACATGCCAGTAAAAGCTGAAACTTTTGCTCAGACTTCCGCAATACTAATTTTTGTTATCGTAGAATATATATCTGAAAGTATAAAGTAAAATTTGATATCATTACTTAAAATTGTCAATTTAATATTTTTTCATGTAAACATAGAACAAGTAGAAAATAAAAAATGAATGTTTCAGTTTTCAACGAATTGATCGAATTTTTTTATTTATTTTTTTTATCACGAGAAAAGAAAAATAAACGATCAATTTCTCATAAAACTGGTCCACAAGCTTCGATTGAATAGATGTATCAGTTCCTCGCGGAAAGCTCGACAAGTGATTGAAAAGTGTCCTGAGTACAATTTCTCACGATATTCGATTTAGAAGATTAGGAAACACGAACCATAATCTTTTCCATTCCGATGCTCACAGAAGCTATTGTTTTTGCGAGCTTAATTTGATGACACGTCATGAAAATTTTATTAAGGAAGTAAATGCCCGTCTCAACTTTAAACGACCTCTTTCTATTTCAACGCACTATAGCCCGACAAAACTTTCGTACACGCTAAAAGCCAAAACAAGAACAAGCCGTTGTCTGCCGAAAATTCACACGCAACACTTTGCAGGCGAAAGTGAATAATTAAACGCCGAGAAAGAGAGAAAAAAAGTTCGAGGGACAAGAAACAAGAAGAATAAAAAAAGAAAGAAAAATACGAGTCCGGTGTAAAGCTGCCCGGAAACTGAGCGAAAAATCCTTGACCCTTTCCTCTGGAGGCACTCAGAAGGCACTCAAGATCCATCGCTGCCAGGAGATGCCGGCAAATCAAGGTCAGCAATATTTTTCTCTTGTATTTTAATACGAAACTTCTTTTATTTACGGGAATTTCATAGATAAGATACGTTCGAAAGTAATTTGAATCTGTATCTACATCATTACACTTTTTTGTCTTCCCAATTAATCGAGCTTTATTGTTCAAGGATGCATTAATTCTTTTCTAAATATTTTATGGAGATTTTCATTTCTTCGAAAATTTAATTCGTTTCGAATCACTCACAGGTAAATAAATACACGTGTTTTAACACCGTAGGTATCGGTGGCAGATAAGGCAATTTAACGAGGTCATTATCTTTATTGTTCGTTTACTTTTTCGTACAATTGTTACGCGAACAAACGTAAACGCCTCTTTTGTTACTGTCACTCGTCTAATTACCTTTTCTATCGAGTCTGTTCCGCGAAACGTGCAATTAAAACAACAGTAATTTACGTTGAAAAAATCATCATCCAACAAGTTAAATTTTTACTAATAATTATAAGAATTATCTTGAATTAATTATCTCCATTCGAGCATGCTCTAAAGAGTCATTCAAGCTGTGCCCCATCGAGGTACATCGACTGTAGATACGTCTGTTTTCTCCCCCCCCCCCTCTCTCTCTTGAACTTACTTTTTAAAAACGCTATGTCAATAACAGGCTGACCTTTTAAACTCCGACAAAAGATTTCCACGAAGAAGAGAAAAACAAAAGTAAAAAAAAAAAGTAATTATCTATGATGCCAGTGCTTCAATATCAAACTTCGAGATTGATCTATGAGCTGTAAATTAGCAACCGAATTTTCAATTTGCTTGTCCCTTTGGTTCTTTATCGAAAAAATGAAGTAGAGGAACTTTGATTGCGCTGTAGATAAAGTTCGCAAAGAACGGGGTTCGTTGTTCGAGATCGGAACTTGAATTCACTTGTCATTGTGAAAGTTGAAGTTGGATGCTGCCGGTGTAGTATCCTGATGTATGTAGGAGATATTGGCGAGATTAATAGTTTTACACGATGAAGTTGTTTGACACGCGCGCTACGGTGATTATGTTTGGGTAAATTACTAACAAAAGTTTCAACGTCTCTGTAAGCTTTCTAAACATTATGATTTCGAGCTAAGATTTGACTTAAGGCCACGATAAACCCATCCATCAATAATTGTTGACCAAAATTTAGTTGAAATTGTAATGTCGCAATAAATTTTTGTAAATTTTTGAAGCCTAAACATTTTCTTTTCGATACTGAAACACACGAAAAAAAAAGAATATTTTAGGGAGAAAGCACTCTATTCATTTTGACTGTGGGCGTTCACTGATCGTTCAATCCCCCCTGCGCGATAGTCATTAAAAATCTCTACTGTACTACCAAAAGTGATCGCGGCACTTTTATTTTTTTCCGTTCTTTACGACTCTTCATCCTACAGCTGGATATTATTTTTTTTTCGCTCTAGCGCGTATACAGACCACATGGCTTTAATTTTGCATTCCTATTCCTACTTTTTTCTTTCTTTCTTTTTCTTGCGCGCTCGCGTGACAGCTAAGCTAAAGCCGCGAAAATCTTGCTCGAGGCAAGACTTTAATTAACGGTTCGCGGTTAATTAACGAAAAAAGAAAAATGTTGTCTATTATTTTCTTTGTATCGCCTGAAGATGACAGTTTTTAATTCCGTCATGGCCACGTTGCGATGTAAATTGCATTCTATTAAGAAAGCAATGTTCGTCGGCAAGGCCGCGCATTGGGTTTGTTTACCAGCGTAAATCTAAACGTTTCCACAGCGGAGCCACAGTCGGATTTGATGTGCGTACGTGTATATATATATATATATATATATATATATATACACATATACATATATACATACATATGTATGCGAACGAGTTTTATGCTCGCGTTGCTAAATCAATTACACTTAACTTTCTCTTTTTTTATCCCATAGAAACACATATAGATAGAAGATCATTCCAATTATTGACTTGAATGGTGAATAATTATTTTTAACAAGAGACGACGTATGTGCTTGGTGTGTGTGCAAATTGATGAAGAGTTTTTCCAAAAGTGTCGACGGTATTCCATTGATTGGCTTATGAAAAACTCGATGGAAAAGCTCAATTAATAGAGTCAAGATGCTACGCTTCTTATTCTGTAGAACAACTGAAATATGTTGTTTCGAGTGATACGTATCAAAATTCAGTCAGACGATAAATAAAAATTATGTGAAGCTTTCCATTTTTGCTTTGATAAATCAAATTTCATTGGCCATAAAAAGCCATTGCATTTTTTATTTAATTTTGTCACGATAAATTATTTTACAAAGAAAAATTATGTAAACAAAAAATTGACAAATTCTTCCGCATTTCTTATCTAAAACTTCCGAATCAAAAAGAGAATGTACATATTATTTAATTATTTACAGCTGAGATCTTATTCGATAAACCAATCATTCAGGTAATAGCCCTCGGGGGATGGTATTAATTGGCTGAATCGTTAATTCTCAACAGTTTCAGCAGCAGCTTCGCGAGTCGAAAATTGAGACACAGTATTTCGAGTAAATTTCTATCTCCGTTGCAATTAAGTCGGAGCCACGTTTGCGGTATATACACACGTACACACACATCAGGCCACGCCGATTCCATAAATAATCCCTCAAGGAGAGAGAGAGAGAGCGAGAGAGAGAGAGAGAGAGAGAATAGAGGCTGACAAATGGCAACCACAGAAGTCGATCTGATAAATTGCCTACCGTCCTGAATACATTTAGCTCAACCCACCGGCAATACGTGCGATAACATCGAACGTGGCTTATCAGTCAGCAAAGATGAGTACCGCCAAGCTTGCACTTTTGCTTCTTTTTTCTTATTGCTGTATAGGTTATTCCGAGGGCAAATTACAATTAGTTTTCTTCAATTATCAATTTTTTTTTGAATTTGTATTGTTTCTTTTTTCTCTTTTATTAATGTGGAGTTTACAGATCATCAGGTGGGTTTAAAGTGGCGATTGATTGAGACTACAATTTTTTGTGTTAAATGCTCACACGCGTGAAATCGATTAAATTTTTATAAATGAATCATCTTTAGTTCAATGTTATACAGTTAAAATAATGAAAATCACATATTGTCAAGAAATTTAATTATTTTTTAGACATCAATTATTAATGCTAAACCTTATAGTTTCCTGGAAATGAAATTATACTTATGTAAATTACAAAGTACAAATAGTATGAAGACAAATTATTAATATGTAACAATATAATTAATCTACCATGATATGGTTAATACTTTTTCTGTTAGTCACTTAGCTATCTTTTCCAACACATATAACTTACTTGTTTAATGATTCCGTTTTGAAATTCATTCAATGCATCTTATCAATAAATAAATTGAATACTGTAAATGGTAAAATCTTGAACAAAATTAAAATATTTATTTGCTTGATAAAAATCTACTTAACATCAAACCCAACCATATAGTTGTAAAACCCTTCGTCATTTTATTCTCTCTATCTATCTCTCTCTATTTCTCTCTCTCTCTCTTTCTATCTATCTATCTATCTATCTATCTATCTATCTATCTATCTATCTGAGGAGTCTTCTTTTTGATATATCTAAACGAGTTACACTATGTCAATCTTTGAGGCCTTTCTTGCTTCTCAAATCATGCGGCTCGTCGAAAAAACTCTTATGCGCTTTCATAGTTTGAAAAGCAACGCTTAACGAGCAAATCTAAATATCTTGAGCCTCTAAAAGGGCTATTGTAAGCTTTCTCTTATTGATGAAAAAAGCGAGCCAAAATATTGGATTCTTAATTTATGCAAGCTTGCACTCAGGTTTCTGGCTCTAAATTTAATGAGAAATTAAATATTTCGTTTCCAATGCTTCTTAATGTAATGGAGAATGAATTTTTCGATGAAATATAATTGGAAGTAAGCTCTTTAATGCAAATTTCTTATTTTATTCTTTCTTGTGTATGTTCCTCGAGTTTTCGTATCGGTAAACTTCAATTTCACACCTTATCAAGTTTGTTAAGTTGGTTTGATAAAGCTTTTCCAATTCAATTATAAGCTTTTCTCAAATATGAATAATGTATTTATTTGTTCTTTACAAGGAATTAGTAGAATGAGGAAAATATGAGCTGTTGGTAAAAAATTGGATGTCATACAATATAACAGTGAGAGTGAGAGTGAAATCTCAGTAGTGTGAAACTTGCAGACAATGGACTTGAAGATGACAGTCGGAGCATGAAAAACCGTCAAAAGCGTTGCACTGTACAAAAGAGCAGGAGCATATATACTTTACTGCACAGGTGGAGGGAGGGATGAGAGTTTTTCAGATTAATCGTGCACGAATTTCTCGAATGGAGTCGAATAGAAGATAATGGCGATGAGCTAATCGAGAAAAAGAAAAAAATACGCGAGATAAGAGGAGATTAGTAGATCTTACCAAGAAGGTTTTATCCTTTGTTATGGCTACTTAAAGTTCGATTTAGAATCACTCTACGTAGCTTTTTACCCGATTGCCAACTTTTATCTCTTACAAATCAATTAGTTCAATGAATGCTCGAAATTTATTTCCATTTGGTCGAATAGGCTTTGAGTTTTCGCAAATTCTCGTTAGTACTTTTTTCTTCAAATCTTAAGATAAATTGAAATGAGATTGGATGCCTTTTTTACCTTATGTTGGCATTTAACGTTTTTAAGTAGGATTTTACTTTAACGCGGGGTATAGAATTTTATTCGAGAGATTTTATGAGAAAGTCGTTGCTACAAAAAAAAAAAGGAATAGAGAAATTTGGTGAAATATTTGAGGTATTAAAATTTGTTTGGTTTCTTAAAAAGAAACGGAAATATTTTAAAAGCAACTAGTCACAAATAGAATATTTCCATATTTCTCGGAATAATTAGCTCAGAGAAATACTAGATTAATTTATCCCGCAGACAATCTTACCGCGAAATATCTGCATCACGCGAGGATTTCGCCAAACATCAAAAATACATAAAATAAGAGCGAGGCAGAAAAAATTTTGAGCGAAC